GTGAGGGATGGGAAGTCGGCGGCAGAGGGCGGAGGGGGAGCTGGATGCGGGGAGGGTTGCTGGTTGACCAAGACCTCTTGGTGCAGAGGACTGGGGCTGGGCGTTGTGCCCGTGGCGGCAATCTGGGCCCATGAGCGAGGGGCCATTGTGGTGGTAGTGGTGATGGTGACTGTTTGTGAAAAGCGCGCAAAGGCCGAAGCAACTAGATGGATGTTAACAATCTAGAAGATTAGGCGAGATGGAAATCTGGTATAAAAGTCTTACGGGCATGAAATGTGATGGATAGTCGGTGGTGATGTTATTGCGTGCGCGAGAAAAAAAGACCAAACAGAGGTGAAAGGAAAAGGGAAAGGGAAAGGGCCCAGGATCAACAACATACCTTTTTTTGGCCAACAGCCCTATACTGTAATGAAGCGGAATGTGCCTTCGCTCACACTGCCCGTGAGGTCGCTTGGTAGCGGTATTGAAGTATTCAGGTGATGATGTGGTGTGTATTCCAGTCTCGATTATTCATCCTTCACTTCATCTCACTCTGGTGTCTTGTTGAGGCATTGATGAGATGAGCCGCACCTACCTCAAGAGATGTGAGCAGAAAGAGCACTTTGTGTGTTCTAAAGAGTAACAAAACTAGCGAAAACTGGATTTGTTATAATGAACAATTATTCTCTTGAGCTGACAAAAGGGTTCTTGTACCCGAACAGTTTCTTTCTCCTTGAAGATCTCCACAACAAGGTCATCCAAACCTCAGCTGAGGAAGCTGGAATGGAGACCTGGTATGGGATGTGTCGAAGCCTCATAATATGCCATGCTCCAGGGCCTTATGCAAAGGCCATCGATCGTGAGGAGGAACTTGGCCCCTCATCTCTTGGAGGGAGGGCATGATACAGACAGAAGCGTTGCCGAATGCTAGACCACTAGGCAGCAACATGGCACATAAAGATATCCAAGAATTCCCTCGATCGAACAAAAGCTTGGAGTCTTTCATCGCGGTTTGTTTGTTCAAGACAAACCGGCATATATGTCTAGGGCCTTTGTCAATTTGGGGTGGCACTCTATATGTTCGACCCGTGGGATACTCAAAGGCTGAAGGCAAGCAAAGAACAAGCGCTGAACATATATCCTCCACAACTCAATAACTCCTAATTGCTTGCATGAGGCTAGCTCAAGCCACTTCCGTTCCCGCTGCAAGGGGTGATCTTTCTCCGATCTTGCTAAGGCGCGAAGAACATTCCTCGAAGTTGCTACCGCTCAGAGACAGCGATGTTTCCTTCTTTCCGTTTGACGACCATCATGACTTGTACAACCAATGGGATGGTTGAGTTGAATGAGTAAAGCAGTTGATGACAGGCTGAGAATGGATTGATGTAGGATAACGTCTTTAAGGTCAAACCGACGTTGAGCAAGTTGCCATGTCGTTGGCCGTCTTACATAAGCGGCCATGAGAAGGACATTGACGCACATTGTCCGGCCGAAACCGAAGTACCTTGTCCACGAATACCTTGATGCAGGTCCACTCCCGCCCGTCCTCTCTGCCGCAGCTTCTTGCAACACCTCAAGACTTAAGAATGCAAAGCTCGCTGACCCAAAATCTCTGGGGCATAGGCGATGTAAGGTGAAAACTGACAATGGAACTAACCAAGCCCCCCTGGTCTCATCCCAAACCCGAGTCGTGCTAGCTGGCAATTGGGTTTCGTGCCACAGTCCTCCAGCGGCCCGCCGATCTCCGCGGCACTCGATTCCGTCACCACTAAATGCCCCTCCCGCGCGGTGCCTTGAAGTGGGGAGAGGGGCCCTTGACGGGTTGCAGCTCTCTCCTTGGGCCGAAAGCTTCGGCCACCGGTTTCCTCATTTGAATAAATGGGGAACGCGGCATCATCATCAGGTCCGAGAAACGTAGCTTCAGCCCCTAGCTTTCGACCATGATTAAAGGAGTCATAAAACCCAGCAACATACCGCATTCGTTCAAAATGTATCGGCGTATAAGAAAGACGAGACAAACGACTACATCAATCACCTGAAAGCTAAACCCATTCAATTCTCGCAAAGTCCATTAACACGAACCATCATCTTATACTCAGCCCGATCTGCCTATCAAAAATGAGCTCCGCACAAGGCAACAGAGCCCTCTGGCTCTCCTCCTACTCCAAACCCCTCGAAGTAATCGACCTCCCCATCCCAGACGCTCCCACAGGCACAGTCGTCGTCAAGATTCTCGCCGCACCCATCGTGCCCTACACGCACCTCGCCCACACCGGCAAGCTCCCGCAGCTCAACGTCCACCCGCCCTTCGTCCCGAACCCCAATGCCATCGGCCGCGTCCACGCCGTCGGCCCGGATGCCGTGCGCGTCAAGCCTGGTGATCTCGTCTACGTTGACGCCACTACCCGCGGCCGCGACGACCCCGTTAACGCCATGGTTATGATCGGTCATCTCGGCGGCGTGGGCGACGCGGGGCAGAAGTTGATGAAGGAGTGGCGTGATGGTTCGCTGCAGCAGTATCAGAAGGTGCCTCTCGAGAACGTCTACCCTCTCGACGAGAAGCGCCTCATTGGTGAACTTGGCTACGACTTTGCGGCGCTGAGCTCTATCGCGCATTACTCCGTTGCCGCCGGCGCCCTCCTCGAGGCAGCGGACATCAAAGTAGCAGAGACCGTGGTCATCGGACCCTCAGGTGGCTCCTTTGGCGGTCTAGCCGTCGAAGTCGCTCTCACCGTCGGCGCAAATGTCATCGCCCTGGGCCGAAGCGAATCCAAGCTTGCAGCAATGCGTACCAAGCTCGGCGACAACCCTCGTCTCAAGACGGTGGTGATGACAGGTGACGAAAACATCGATGCGCAGGCGATCCTCGCAGCCACGCCCAATGGAGCCGGAGCCGACGTTTTCAACGACTGGACGCCCGGCGAGCTCAAGAACCCGCCGTACCTCGAGGCCGCGGTGCGCACCCTGAAGCGCGAGGGAAGGGTGATCCTCAGCGGCGGCGCGAGTGAGACGCTGACGATACCGTATGCTGTGTTTGGGCTCAAGAATCTGAAGTTGATTGGTAAATGGATGTGTGAGCGGCCGACGCTGCTGCAGCTGGTTCGCATGGTTGAGGGAGGTCAGCTAAGGATCGGGAGAGAGAGCGGCGCGGAGATCAAGATTTTCTCCTTGGATGAGCATCATGAGGCGACGGAATTTGCGAGGGACAATGGTGGATGGAGGAACTACACTGTCATTGCTCCCAACGTGGAGTGAGACTTGTCTTTTGAATGATAGTCACCCTGCTTCGTTCCGCGGATCACTATTTCGGATCGGTAAGAATAGCCAGCTCCTCATTTCATACTCAATGTATTGTTTTCAGGAGAGGAAGAAAAGATTTATTGATAAGATAGACCACACATGTTCCTTGATAAATCTTACGATGTCATGACAGAAACTGGTTCTCGGCTTCTTGAATGAGTATCGTGTAAATTTGTGAAGATGACGCATGTCCGTCACGAACAAGGCTTCACTGCCTGCTTGTCTCCAAGACCGGGGGATTTCATAAATGCCTGTTCAGGAGGATACCTAGGCCACCTCGGTCCTTAGAAAAAAACCCGGTCGTCAGCAAGGCACTAGATGTGACAGGATTGGACAATTGCGAGGCGTCAGTCCCGTCTCGTCATGATTGGCCAACCATCCCCGGTCTGTTTGTCCATAGGTTGGAACGTCTTCCCCCACGCGCGGACGTTGCGGCTACTTGCATGTAGGGTTTCAGTCTAACCGGCGTGACCGACCTGTTCTTCATGTAGGAAGTGCTGGAGATAAGACGAACCGAAAGTGCGGCTCATCGATTCTGCATGAGCTCACACAGACCTGTTGATTTCGATTACGCATCTCTTTTTCCGTTTGTTCCGGATGGTGTTCTCATCAATTCGTTACAGGCGATTAAGTGTAGATAGATACTTGTGTCGTTTCCTGCCTTTCATCCGCTTGTCTCTCATGTTAGAGCATTTGCGGCAAGGTCCTCGACGTGACCTCCTTGTTAGGATTTCGCCCTACAACTAATTTCATGGCATCACGGAACCTTGAGTTTTCATACGCATAATCTATGATGAATGTATCTACGGATACAGCCCGTTACGTCTATACTTGTCACTCATCACATCTCAGTAAGAGTAAGAGTGAGATTCGACTGAACTGAAGGTCAGTGCGTCGGCCGCGGGAAGTGAGATTGAACCCGCAGTGATGGCTCCCGGCCGGTCACTAACGCGTGTACCTGGGTGAAGATCCCTGCTCCCGCTCCAGCGTGACAAGGAGAGGGGCGGTTTCTTGAGGGGCCTTACTGGGCTGCCACGCTGCTTGAGGTAGGTACCTAGACTTGGGGTACAGGAACGTTGGCCCGCACCTGCTGAATCACTGGTGCATCGGAAATAGAGGTACCTAAGTATCAAGGTACCGTCGCAAAGGTCCCTGCCAGTGCCTCTGAACCTTCTAAATTGGGCGGGAGGAAGGGGCGAACCACAGGAAGCGATCCTTCCTTCCCCAACCAGGGCAGTCAACCGAAGGGTGGCAAGCACCTTAATTCCAACCTTAGGTAACCTCGCTGGATATCTCCCGCACTCATCTCGCCTTTTTCAACTACATCTCTTTGCGAGGCCGACCGTCGTGGGCTTTTTGGACGGCATCACGTCCAGTCTCCGCGGCACGACAACGGAAGGGACAAGGAGACAACGGTTTGCTGACTTTTGGCAAGTCCTACTGCACCACTGCGGCTTCTCTTGCACCATCCGCGCACGCGACACGGCCCCAAGTCTCATCGCCTAGGAGCCGTCATATTGCGACGCCTTTCACTGGCCTTGGCACAAATTGCAATCACTTGCTACATCATCGGTATCGCATGAACATTTTACTTTGCTATCACTACAGAAGCTGCCCATCAAAATAGCTCCTTTCTCTCCATTGCTTTGGTAAGCGACCTATCTAGACTCAGCTTATCAGGACCCCGTTTGCTCATCTCATCTTGGTAGCTGAAACTCATCATGGCGGACAACACATCCACCCCCGCCGACCCGATGGCCGCAGCCTCAAATGCCATGATGGTCTCGATTCAGGACTACATTCGCACCGCCGTCACCACAGAGGTTGCAAATCTCCCAAACGCAACCCAGCCCGCCCAACTTGCGGCCCTTCAGAGTCGTCTCGAGACTGCCAACCAGGAGAACTCTGAATTGAAGGAGAAGATCAAGCAGATTGAGAGTAAGAAGTCCACTCGCCACAGTCGCAAGAGCACGTTTTTTCTCTTCTCTTTGTCTTTAGCACATCGCTGACATCGATCAAGCAGGCGAGCGAGACACCGTCAAAGCGGCCTTCTCCTCTTACCTGGGCTTTCCTCTTCCAGACTCCAAGCTTTCCCGCCATTCCCACAGCAAGAGTAGCAAGTTCCCCCAGTTCCAGAAGTTCCCCGTCGAAATTCGCATGAAGATCTGGAAGCTTGCTCTCCCTGCCGGACGCATTTTTGATCTCTCTAACGTCGATGCCCACTTCTCTCGTGTTCTCCGAGCCCCGATTGCCGCCAACAACGGCGCGCCTAACCCGGCTTTGGTCTTGCGCCAGGCCTCCGGGCTCACTGAAATGAGTGTGACTGCCCACAAGACGCCCAAGCTCCGACTCGCTTGCAAAGAGGCCAACAAGGCATTCCTTGAGGCAGGTGGCTTCGAATTTGGCTTGTTCGGTGGCCCATACAAAGGACTTTGGTACAACTATTCAGAGGACATCGTCTTTGTCCGCGAAGAGCCGCGTACATGGGCCAACCTCGATATGTCACGCATCGTCCGTGTCGCCTTCCCGCATAATAGATTTATGTGCAAGGCCGATGCCACCGCCAAGATGGACACCATCCTCGATCACTTCACCTCCTGCAAGGAGGTCATCCTCATGCAGACCATGGAGTGGGATATCCGCTCCTGCCTTGCAAGCCCTCGACTGCCTGCCAAGCTTTTCCCGCTACAGGAAGCCGATCCTATTAGCACCCATGACTACCCGAAGGAACTTTCTGACGACGTCGGTAGCGTCGCAACCTGGGGCGATGTCAAGCGCATTGTTGCCCAGATATGGGAGGACCACGTCGTCAACGTGAAGCATCTCAGCCCTGTCCGTGTTCCCAAGTTCTCCGGGATCGAGGTCCTTAAAGCTCGCCCGAGCTACTTTGACTAGAGGACAAGATATAGAAGGTAGCTTGGATGACTTTCAGCTTGATCCTTGATGATCCACGCAGGATTTGATATGTACCGTATTTCGGTACTTTCCATTGGGAGAAGAGGCGTTTGGGTTGGTTTCTTCATCGTACGATAACTATCACGCATCAATTGATATCCTCAATGTCTTCAAATCGTATCCTGTTCATGCCTATCGCCGTTTCCCCCAGAAAACAGACCTGATGAATGAGGTCATGGTGTCAATCTTCCGCGAACCACGAGCCCTTATACATACGAATTCTTTTATGGAGTGACATGGATGGACCATGGAACCTAGCTTTCATTTACTCGCCTTACTCACGCCTCAAAACATTCTGTAGCTGAGGTATGTAGTATTGCCTGGAGAGAGTATGAGCTAGGACGCACGACTTCTATCTGGTAAAAAAGAAGCACCAAAGCCCTAGACCAGTCTTTCAGGGTCCATCCCAACATCCGGCTTTCTGAAGACCTCTACAGCCTCTAGGAGCAAGGGTCCCTTATTCGTCCACGCATTCCGAGGCTCGTTTGAGTTTTCGAGGATGACCTCCTCGCTCTTCTGCAACAACACGCTCTTGAAATCGGCCCAGGTCAGAAACTCCTTCTCCAGCAGCTCTGGAAACCGCCCTGCGAGGTAGTATGTCAAATCCACCTTTGCAACCATAATATTTTCTTCTCTCATAGCTCTGAAGACTGGAGCCGTCTTCGCAAAATCGTTCGTTATGACATCTCCTATTTCACGCCGCTTGTCTAAGTAGAGCGCGACGACAAGGTGGCGACAAGTTTCGAAGGTTTGGGTTCTGAACCCTTCATCGAGGAAGAACGAAATAGCAACTTCCATGGAGATGTAGATCTTCCTCAAGCCCTTCAAGGGTGTATGGAACCACTGGTCGCAGGTCGCATAGTAGACTGCGTCCTGCGTTTCGTTGTACCAGAGGCCTCGGATGTTGGAGTTGTCAAAGTAGCCGAAGGTGAAACGACCAACCGACATACAGGCATCATAGGCGTCCTTGCAGGTCTCTCTGACCCGGGGAGGATAGTACTCGCGGTAGAATCGAGTCGGATGGTTAACACTTATCCAGATTGCGTGGTTGTTTGGCTCGTAGATCCGTGGCGCAGGGAGGGCTTCGATCCAAATCTTGCGTTTGATCTCAGCAGGCAGCTCCTGGAACCGAGGGAAGTCCATTCTCGAATGCTGTGGTGCCATTTTCTGGGCCTTGAGCTTGCAGTCAGCAACATGATCGGTTTTGAGGGAAACAGTATCGAATCAGCTTACCGGTGATCCCAACTTGGAGGCTTGTTTGCGGGTTGCGCTCCGTGGGGCTTGTCGAATTGTGCCATGAGGAAGTCAGCTTTGAGTTGATATTGTGAATGAAGACGCCAAGACGAACCTTTCTTAGGAGCCTGGCTGAGAAAACAGTGACCACTCGGTGCACCGACATCGAGATGTTATTTGAAGGGCTGAGAATGTGTAAGGGCGAAAAGACTCAGCTCACCTGACACGCGTTGGCCGTGTGAGTTGCTGAAGAGAAGAATCTCAGAGGAAGGATTTTGAAAACGGAAGTAGTTCAAGTAGGCCCTCTTTCACTCTTTACCGGGAAGGCAGGTCTAAGGCAGGAGCAGCTCCTTCCTCCTCAAATATGCCAACGAAACTAGCAGGTGCGAGTGTGAGTTTGGCTCTTGGAGTACCTTGAAATACCTAGGTCGAGTCATTAACAGATTGTACGTTCCAAGTAAAACCGTTGCCGTTGCAGTATTAGTGCAAAGAACTGGTACCCTAAAGATACCGTCGCAGACTACGGAATCCCTGGAGGTCGATCGTCGTGGCCTCTTCACCAAAGCTCAGAAGTGTAAGGACGGCAAGATCAACGACGGTTTCGACTACCTGCAAAGCCTTCTCTGATGTTTAAATGACTAACGTCCCCCCCCCCCCCCCCCTCCCGGTGTCAAACTTGCAGCAGAAGCAGCCTCAGTCACTCCCGATCAGAGATCGTAAACGAGCACGAGTTGAGCGAAGAACTGAAGCGGCCGCTCGTACTCGCATCATGATGGTGCTGTCCATGAGGTAATAGCTAAAAGTCTGGCAATGATTTAACGTATACCACAACCAGAACCGGAAGGTCCTCAGCAGGGTGTTTAGAAGCCTTGATGACTCTGGTTCCAAACCCCGACATGGGGCGCGTGAACAGAAGGGACCTTGCTATTTGATGCGAGGCGAGCTTGGTATTCTTGTAAGGATCAGGTGTCTGAACGAAGGTTCTCGGCGTTCACGGTGTTCGACGCGCCCAGTCTCTTATTTCGAGAATGATCTAAGGTAGCCGTAATGATTTACAATCTATGTGAGCATCAAAGGACCACAGTCAGGCCACGTTTATAGCTTGAAAACCGGAGCGGAAACTGTCTTTGAGTTGATGGCTATGGCCTTCTTCCCCTTTAGTCCCGTCGGGCAGGGTGTTTCCGGCCGTCTAACTATCTAACGAAGGCGATAACAAAAAACGATCGTGGCAAGGCAGGAATGTGAGAGGTCCTTGACTTATGCCCCGTTTGTGTGGTATCGTCTGAAATGATAACCTTCCTTCTTGATGCGAGGCTTCCGGAAAACCTCCACAGAACGGAAAGTGACGTCTCTCGTCTTGGATCTATCCTCGTAGAAGATCTCCTTCAGCTCATCTCTGTGTTCGGCCCAGGTCTTCAGCAGGCCTTCGCCCCAATCTTCCACGTCCACTATCTCAGCGCAGACGCGCTCATCATCCTTGACGGGGTAGAAGACTGGCTCAGTAGCTTCCATTGCCTCGCGAGTCGGTCCCTTGTTCTCTTCGATGGGAGCTCCGCGGGGTTGATAGGCGATTGTAAGGTTTTCACACCCGTAACAATCGCTTGTGAGCACTTCTCTGTATTCGTCCCGGTCAAGGACGATGGCGTCTCCGATGATGAGGTTCTTCACCTGAAGGTGGTTGAGGTACCAGAACTGTGCAAGACCAGAGACATAGATGGCATCCAGATCATTGTTGTACCAGATCGATCTCATGGTGCCGTGGCCCAATGCGTCCTCAAAGTGGCCGAAGCGGAATTGGCCAGCCTTCATGCAGTATTCGCGAGCCTCTCTGTTGACCTCTCTGAAAGTCGGAGGTGCCCAGTGCTGATAGAAAAGAATTTTTCTTGGGTCGTGTTCCTGGTGATCGTAGTATGTGATCGGCTCGTAGATTCTACCAGGCGGGAGGCACAACTTCCAAATCTTGTCCTTAAGCTCGTTGGGGAGTCGATTGAAGTAGCACTCATGGTCTATCTCAATAGTTAGAAAGTCTCTCATTGACGATAAAGGGGAGCTTGAATACCTTGACTGCGAGCCTGGGGAGATTTTTTAGTTTTCTGGATCGACTCGACAACTTTGCTTGCTGCCTTCAAAAGGAGGGTGATTGCATCTTGACGGAGTTCTTGGTCCTGCTGGCCGTCGGCCTGCGTGATTCCGGCTAAGGCCAACAATAGCGAAGAATGCGTGTTTCCGATTGAGAGCTTTTCAGCCTCGTCAAGTTTGGAATAAACCTTGCTTGCTGTGTTCAGCAGGCTGGCGATGGCGGTCTGTTGTTTGTCGAGCTGCTGGGAGGAAGAGATGATCAGGCTGGTGGAACTCATGATGCTGGAGATTATATCATCTTCATGTCGCAGAAGCTCGATCTGCTCATCAGGCTCAGGTTGCAAGTTCGAGGCCATCTTGGTAGCCCTGGCCTCGGAGTCGAGGTGGTTGATGCGACTTCTTTTACCCACCTCGATGGTAGTGGTTTTGTCAAAATTCGAAGGTCTTGAGAGGAAATAAATTAGGTCTTGTATCCCTAAGCCTGCTCCTGCCGACCATCTTGAAAAGAAAATTTTGTTTGTGAAGCAGCAGGGCTTTGCTTGGTCGTCAATATGAGTGATCACGCATAGTGAGAAGGACTAGCATCAAGCGGGGACAGTCGACATTTGGCCCCTAAATTGCAGGCCACTATGGCTGCCTAGTCTTTATCAGATGCCGCCATTGAAGTTTTTGAGATAATACAGCAAGTGAATTTGATTGTAAAGTCTTGTCTGCTGACAAGGAGAACTAGGTCAATGACTTTTATTGCTATGTGAAGTGGATTACCACTGATTGTTCCTTCACACTAGGCTAAGACCCTGAGTCTTGACTTCAATCAGACATTGGTTACTTGTTGTGCATAATAAGTAAATTCGAAGGTGCCTATCTGGCGTTGGAAAGAGCAAGGCCAGGTGTGTGCCTTCTATGGTATGGCGAAACTTTAGCATTGCCCTTTTCTTTTTACCTATATCTTACCTTCTACACCTTGACACTCCCATCCTCCACACTCCCATCTCCCACACTCGAAATATTCTCTCCTACCTTCTTCGCTCTTTCCCTCTCACACACTCAGAACCTTCGTCATCTGCAACTGATATCCACCATACCCTTCCCGCATACCTCAACCCTCAACTCGAGAGTCAGCCTCAAGCCCACAAAGATGGACGAATCGGCGAAGCTCATCAAGAGCTTGACCGACGGCCTTGAGGCCATCAACAAAGTTCAGGCTCAGCAATCGAAGACCTTTTCTGAACTTGCAAGGTTGTGCATCGCAGAAAATGCCCCTGCAGTAGATGTCGCCCGAGTCAAAGATCTTCAAGGCAAGCACACTCCGTTAAAAGCAGCATTGACCGCGAAAAGACTGACCGGGGGAAAATGGCAGTAGATACCCAAGAGACGTTGGCGAGTATCATGAGACTACAGACCAAGATCATGAAAGAGCAGGCGGCGATGGTCCTCTCAAGACAACAGGCCGCGGCGATGCCCTCCAAACAGCAAGAGCAGGAATCTCTTTCCGGTGAGTTCTCCTTCGAACCTTTCTGGGATTGATCATACTTGACGACCGTGGTATTGACTCTTCCCAGTGAGAGCTGCAGCTTTCCCAAAATTTGGTCGTCTCCCCGCTGAACTGCGGAGACACATTTGGAAAATGGCACTGCCAGGCCGTCGCGTTCTCGAACAGGCGGACGGAGTAGCCGAGTATCCCGAGCTCTGCAAGAAATTCAGACCTCCAGTGATTCGAGCCGTCTGCAAAGAAGCCTGGGAGGTTACCGAACAGAATGGGCTATTCGTCTACGGTTCGGAGCTCACTGCGTCTGGAAGAACCTGGTTCAACCCCAAGCAGGACGTGATCATTATCCGTGATCCCGGAGAGGACTGCCCGCTGGGACCGTTTGAGGATTGTCGTCCTGAAATCATCGCCGTTGACCGCCGATACTTTGAACAAGACCAAAACTTCAGACGTGTCTTGGATCTTGTGCTGGAACTTGACAGCTGCCGAAGGCTCATCATCCTCTTGCGGACAGCCCCCAATTTAACATACCAGAAGGGAGCAGCGCCGAAGCTGTTCAGCCTTCAAGCCGAAGATGTGATCTGGTCATACTACGCAGATGAAAAGCCAAACGGTCTCTTTGAGGAGGACGATGTTTCGTGGAAGAAGTTCAAGGATACGATCCGAGCTGATTGGGATAATGAGATACGTGACAGCGGAGGAATGGATAAAATCATGAAGTATGGCGGCGTGCCTGTGATCGAGGGGATGGAGTTGATCATGCGCAAGGAGGACGAGACATCTCATGGTTTCTGAGCAGCGACGTAGGGACAAAGCGAATCCCATGGGCAAAATGTCAAGATCCCATAGTCCAAAACAAAGGTCTTTCTCCCTAGACAGAACGCATGTCTCGATGAGACTCATGGGAGTTGCTTTCGAGCTCTAGTCTCACGGCGTTTAGATTTAAATCGAATCGAAAGCTAACGGATGCGTCAATTCCGTCGTCGTTTTCATGTTGAGAGATACCAGCTGGGCCAACATGGTTGAGTGGCTTGGCTGCTACAAGCACACATGGTGAACACTAGAAAGTAAGTCTGAGTACCTTTTGAGCTTTAATCCTCAAAGAGAACTCAGTATAGTTACGCTACACGGCACTATGCTGCTTATATCCTATGTATAGAGCCCAGTGGCTTTCTTCTTCAAGCGATACTTCCGAATTGAATGTAAGCAATGAGACTACGAACAGTACCTGAGGCGGTGGTACACGCAGGTGAGGTGACACCAGCGGCTCTAAAGCATTGAGATTACTCCCTATGTACCAAGCATTAGACGTCTGGAATCTGGCTGTCGTGGAAATCGGTGGAGACATCTGATCAAGGAATTGGGCTTGTCCGTGACGTTGCTAGTGAGCCTTGGCCCTCAACACGTTCGGAATGCTGTCATCTCGGTCTGATCATGTAAAGTTTCCATAGACCGGCTGCGCTCCGTGAATTGCGCCAAGTTGATTATCTGGGAAACTACGCTCAGATTTCCAGGGCCAAAGGGATTGAGGGAAGTTTTGATCTTGTGTCGCAAACATCTACATTCAGCCTTCTGCCTCTTTGTGTTTCCAGGTCAGATAACCAAACTGGGACGCTCAGGCCAAACAGGACCAAAGACGAGACTATTCATAGTCTCATAGAGGTAGGGAGAGTAGCAGTTTGCGTTTTCTGTCCTTATTATTTTAGACAAGATGGACAATGCTCACGTGGACGCATCGGATGATTCCATTTTGGATACGGCAGCCTTGTATACGACGCTCGGGATACCCAAAGAGTTCAAGCATTGGCTACTGAGAGAACGAAGAGATACCGATGCGTGAACCTGAAATTTCCGACTTCGGGGCAATCCGAAAACTTCCTAGTCCTGTCAATCTGGTGCCCTCTCCCTGTGATGTATTCCCGAGGTGCTGAACAAACACCATGACGCAAGCAGTCGATATAAAAGTCGTGATTCCATCCTCTGACAGAAAAATTTGAGAAATATCAGTCAGTTCACCATTCGTTCCAGTCAGCTTCCCTCCTACAGTTCTTTCCAACCAATCCACTGTCACTATCATTCTCTTCCAACTCTCTTCACAAGTCAACATGTTCGCCAACACCCTCACCCGCTGCCTTGCACTCACACCCCTGGCTGCGAACCTCGTGGTTGGAGAAGCCGCATTCTACGGAACAATCCCAACCAGTGAGCTCCAAATTCCGTCTTTGACCAAAGGTGCCGCAGCTTCATGGACCACCTCCTGCATCGCTCCTCGCTCCACCAGCAAACCCGCGGTTCCTTCCATCGACAGCCCAGTCTGGTACGCCCAAGAGACCTTTGACGAGGCCTCTCCCCTCGAGAAGAGAATCAACGTCGCCATCAACCAGCAGCCGAGAAACTGCAACAAGGAGTCTGACTTCAACCCTCACCCGCCAATCCACTCCGACAAGCAGCTCAAGGGCGCAGACTATTTTTGCAACAACTACGCCGGCTTCATGGAATCCGCCATGAAGTCTCTTCGCGTCGAGTGGCACGATGAGTTTCAGGGTCGCCACCAGTACAAGGTCTCCTGGGCTGTAGGCTGTGTCACCGACGGAGACAGGCAGCATGTTAAATATCCCAATGGCCTTTCCAACACCAACCCGAGCTGCAACGACTTGATGAGGGATAACTACCTACAGTGTGAGTGTCTGACAGCTTCTATATGGTTGAAGTTCCCTCTGGTGAAGAGATTTTGTTGCTGATACGGTACTGCTCTAGGTAACAACGGTGGCGTTGGAGGTCGGGTACAGGTGGGCTGCCTTGTTTACGCTTACAACGGAGGGACCGTCGCGGGGAGGGATTATGAGTCTATTGGGCTGTGGTGAGCGGCCGATCAAGATCGCTCATCTTCTTGTCGAGTTTATGGTATGCGAATGGGAGGGAGCTATAGCTCTCGCTCTCAAACAAGGCAGCATGAAGCACCCGATCGACTTCTTCTCTTCCCTCCAGATTGTGCAGCTAGATAGAATATACTCAATACATACATCCTCGAAACGTCTGTGTCAGATAGAACGGACTGACAATTTGCGTGAGGCAGGAGGGCCACGATAGAACAACGACAGAGGGAGAATCATTTGGGAAAGCACCTGACGGTCGTGGATGGGCTTAATGAAGCCAGTTCCAAACGGGCGAGCTTTTGGAAACATTTCAGGAAACACAGCCACAGCAAACGGCTTTCATCGTGAACTATGTTACAACTGGGCTTCTTAGTGAACCAGTAGCCCCAATCAGAAGCTATGAGAGCAACTGTGAGTATGCGGAAACAAGCCTAAGAATCAGTACCATGAAGGAAAGATTTTTCAATACATGAGGAAACAACCATCTAGTGCCTGATGAACGCTTCTAGCAAAAGTAAGGTTGAGATGAGTTGAGGGACAGAGAAAGGTAATCGGACGTTGGACAATGACGATTTGTTTGCCCTGCACGGTGCATCAGGAGAAGACGTGGCTAGTCCTAAAAGGGCATGATGCGGGGTAGTCGAGCTAAGGACCTTTGGAGGTTGGTCGGCCTGCCAGGCACTCATGCCAATGCGTCGTCGCGGGGCAGCTTTCTTCGGAGTTCCATCATCAACATCAACCTTCCCATTCTACCTACCGACACGAACCCTGCAGTCTTGGAGCCGCAAAGATGTCTACGGTTCACATCAAGTCGGCAGCGGAGTTCCAGAAACTCCTGTCGAGCTCCCGTATCGTCGTTGCTGACTGTGAGTACTACCCGACCACCGAAGTCACTGCACCCCTGCCTCTCCATCCTGGATGACGCCAGTGAGGCCATATACGGCCGCGATAGCTCCAACGCGATGTGGTAGCGGCTTCATTGCCTCTCGGTATCGCGCCGGCCACGTTCCTACTTCTTCATCTAGGAGGCTATTGAGCTGCTCGCGGGATGCATCCATGATTGAGTTGACGTGCTGACAAATGGATTCTAGTCTACGCCGACTGGTGCGGTCCCTGCAAAGCTATCGCGCCCCTCTACGAGCAGCTTTCCTCGTCCCTGTCCCGCAAGAATGTCGTCACTTTTGTCAAGATTGACGTCGAGTCCCAGAAGGAGATCGCCTCCGCCTACAGCGTTACTTCCCTCCCGACTTTCATGATCTTCCGCGAAGGCAAGACCATTGAGAAGGTCCAGGGCGCCGACCCCCGCAAGCTCCAAGAGGTGGTCAAGAGGCTGGCGAAGGAGGTTTCCGAGGGCGGTTCAGGCTCTGGCGAGGCGTCCGGAAGTTCAAGCGGAGGCAACTGGAGAGGCGCAGAGTTCCCTCGCGGCTATGGCGACGTTACCGGCCAGATCGAGCCCAAGGGCTGCGAGCTGCTGAACGCCGACGAGGATTTTGGTCCCGTCAAGGTCTTGTTCGACCCATCCAAGCCTAGCGCGCTTGCGAAGAAGGAGGGCGTGAAGGATTGGGTTGAGAGTGGTGCCGATGACCAGCTCTTGCTGTTCATGCCGTTCCAGTCCATGATCAAGCTGCACACCCTTCAGGTATGATTGGAAAACTGTAGTTAGACACAGCGTCAGTTGCTAACCCATCACGCAGCTCACCTCCCTGCCTCCTACCGACGATGACGACGACGAGGCTCCTATGCGCCCGGGCACCATTCACCTCTACACGAACAAGCCTCACAACCTCGACTTTAGCGAAGCCGACGATACCCCTCCCACGCAAGCCATCGAGCTCACCGAGAAGGACTGGAACGCTGACGGCACCGCCAACATTGGCCTTCGTTTCGTCAAGTTCCAGAACATTAACAGCTTGATCATTTACGTGACCAAGGGTGACGGTGACGGTGAAAAGGTGCGTCTCGACCGCGTGCGCCTCATCGGCGAGTCGGGCGAGAAGAGAGAAATGGGCAAGTTGGAGAAGATTGGCGATGAGGCCGGCGAATAGAGCGGATCGGTGGGTCATTGAAAATCGGTCCGGCGAAGAGACAAGAAAGAGGATGAAAAGTCTGCACTCGAGACCCCATGCGACGAGAATCATGAATAGAGCAATAGTTATAGACGCCTCCGGTCACAGTTTGTGCCGGAGGCTCAAAATCCAAAACCACTGAGCCACACACAGATTGCATGGTTGAGCATGATTGACGCTCTATAATGCAGAGTCATGCATTCAGACGGTTGTGCATGAGACGATTCTAGAGCGCGCGTGGTGTGCCAAATTAGGAAGCGTTCACGGGGGTGCGACGACATACTGCCATGAGCTCAACCGCGAGGCAGGTAATAGGTGACACAGCCGCATACGGCTCACTTCTCCCTCCTGGGTCGTCGCATTCACTTTGCGAGTTCAAGCCAAGAATAAATTTGGCTTGAAGGATTGGATATGTCCGGCCCATCGATCGCGACCCAACTCGCTACAAGAGCAAGAACAGGATCTATGATGGACGAGGCCGGCTGCAATTAAAATTCGATCTGGGGCACGATTGACGCCATGAATTCACCGACTTAGGAATTCCAGCAACAGGGGAAACTGTAACGAATCGTGCCAGCCGCACGAAGAAAAAAAGAAGAAAAAAGAGAAGCCTTCGAAAGAGCCGCGACCAAAAATTCTTTTTTATATCGTGAGATGGGTCCCTGCACGTCCGCCCGGAGTGGGTCCGATGCAGCTGGACTAGGCACCGGAGGAACCTTTTCGCGGACAAACGGAAGATAGCCGCGGCAGGCTCCACGGGCTGCAGGTGGACGCGGCGTTCCACTGGGTGACTGGCTGCGCTGGTTGCGGACGTGACTGCACCTCAGTCTGCGAGCCTGGCGAGGTACCCACG